CTTGCCAGGAAAGAGCTTACTCTACTGAGCCATCTCCCTTGCCCCTGAATGTATGCTTCTTTTTTGTCTGAGACTGCACAAAGTAAATTTGTATATAACCTTCTATCTCTTGAGACACAAGAAAGAAAAATGTCCCCCCAAAATTACAGCAGAACCTTGATTTACAAAATTAATTTGTTTTACAATTTGAGGGAAGTTGACTATAGTCGTCTTTGTCAGCTGCTTTCAAGTTTGTAAATGAAAGCAAAATTTTCCTGAAGAATTTTTTTTTTGCATACTGAATCATTTAAAAATAGAAGCATTTATGAACTGAGGTATTACTCTATATTCTCCCAGATAGTTAGCTACAATTTATTTTCTACATCTGATGAAGTTATTAATTTTTCTCTTCTATAGTTTAATTTCTGGTCCATGTTTAAATTTCTGCTTCATGAAAATATAGTGTTTTTCTATGTCTGTGCATTTCATTTTTAGCTAGGATATATTAGTAGCTCAGCCCCATTCCCAATATTTGGTAATATTTTCAGACTGTGTTAACCTGGAGTAATCACTAGTTCTTTGTTTTTGTTTTTTTTCTGTTACCCAGAAAGTTTGGTCACTAATACTGTCATATTGTTTTCTTGCCATGCTTGATAATTATTTCTCCATTACAAGTTTTTCTGGAGGCCGAGGAGATGGCTCAGTGGAATAACTGCTTCCCTGGCAAGTGCAAGACCCTGAGTTCAATCCTTGGTTCAAAAAAAAAAAAAAAAAAAAGAAAAAGAAAAAAAAAGAAAGAACAGAAAAAGAAAAAAAAAGTTTCTCTGTTAGAACTGAAATCTAATTTTTCTTTTAAATATTTTTATCCTCTAATTGGACCAACTACAATTTGCTCATGTTGCTCATATAATAACAGATTGTTCCACATTTCCTAATACTACTTTGAAACATGGTTAACCTACTTAAAACCAGAGCTTTCCTATTTAAACATGTATTTCTCTCCACTGTGATGTCCACTATCTTGCTGTGTACAAACATCTAGGGTCAAGTTACATTTCATGATCAAGTTTTGCATAGTATTTTAGTTATACTTTCCTGAATTGGTTATTTTATTGGGGATTATAAATAATTATCATCATTTTGAACTATTCTGCTTATTTTGCCACATATTTTGCTGCACGAACATCAATTACAATTATTCTTATAAGATGAGGTCAATTATATTATCTTTTTAAATTATCAATTTTACGAGAAGTTTTATTATATTCATAACCAAATGCTGGAAAATATTTTTGTTTCCTCATTATACTTTATTATACATATTCACCAATATTCAGGAACAAGTTTTCTTTTCTCTAAGCTTATTGATTATACTTATGGTTGTTTATGATGCAGAATTGTATGCAAAGATAATCAGAAGCATTAAATTTATTTTGAAAAGGATCTTCACTTCAGGTTGATATTTTCCATTCAAGTTTCATGTTATATAAGTTTTTCTTTTATTCAGCTTCTTTTATTTTACCTTATCTTTTCATATTAATAAAGCCATTGAATCTGATCTGATATTGTTCTATCTGTCAATATATAGGTGGAATGTCATCCTTATCTCAATCAAAGCAAGCTGCTTAATTTCTGCAAGTCAAAAGACATTGTCTTAGTTGGCTACAGTACCCTGGGATCCCACAGAGAAAAACCCTGGTAATAAAGCAATAAAAAACACATCAAAACATTTGCTGATGATGTATTGTTACTTTCAAAATATTATGTTTCCTAAAGTTCTCTCTCTACTGGCTCAAGGAGGGGATAAAATTTACCTTTCTGAGGAAATTCCAGTTCACATAAAAAGTCCTGGCCTAGAATTGGTAAATTTGTTTGCTTTGGAGTTTGACCAAAACACGTAGCATCAAGACTAAACCATTTCTGCCTTCCCTTCCAGGGTGGACCAGAACTCCCCAGTTCTCTTAGATGACCCTATTCTTTGTGCCATGGCAAAAAAGTACAAGCGGACTCCAGCCCAGATTGCCCTTCGCTATCAGCTGCAGCGAGGGGTTGTGGCCCTGGCCAAAAGTTTCAATGAGAAGCGGATCAAAGAGAACATGCAGGTGATGTGGGGTCATGGGCCTTAGGGATTCTCGACAGTTGCTTTCCTGTTTACTTTTTTACAAGCTTGCAAAATATCTTTGTTTCAAATCATTTTTTCTGGTATTTACTGTCTGTATGTACCTTGTATGTATTTCTAAGTGTTTTCTGCTACACTAAAATTGCACTGAGGTTTTCATGTTTTAATATTATTAAAACAACAGATTTGAGAAATGTGAATTTAGCATTACACTGTTAATGTACTTCATAGACCTGAAAAAGTTAGATCTCCATTTGTTCTTTGTATGAAATAGAGATTTGATTCCATATATGTGAACATTATTTTCACAACACTGAAGCTCCTCTGCTCCAGATGCTAGTTAGTGTCTTGGTTACTGATCTCTCCTTGCTGGGACAAATACCCAACACCAAAAATGAAGGAAGGAAAGGTTTATTTAGCTCACAGTCAGTGGAGGTTTCAGTACATACTCAGCTGACTCCAAGGCAGAGTGGCACATAGCAGAGAGCAAGCTTTCAAGACAACAGCAAAAAGAACAGGAGCAAGAGAGCAAAGGTAGTGGTAGCAGCTCAGGCAGCTAGCTAGCCTCTCTCCTCTCCTCACACTGTAATGCAAATTACCTTCCCTGGGGTGGGTGCAGCACCCACACCCACAATAATCAATCACAAGCTTCAGAAGCTGCCCCATGACTGCATGAGGCTTTGGGGGACAACTAAACACAAACAGTAGCAGTTAGGCTATGACATGAGGAGCCTCAGATCTCCTGCATGTGGATTTCATCCACTTAGGCTTCATCTCCTCAAGTACTATTTTCTGAAAGTTGTGAATAGATATTTGGGAAGATCATTTTCAGGCTCAAACATTGTACATTCCTGTTTATGTCAAGTTCTAGTGACCAATGGAAATAACAGGCCTGTTATTATTGAGGTAGGGAAGAGACACTTTTTTATTTGTATTTATTTATTTATTTATTTTTAGTTAGTTACTTTTAATACAGGATCTTGCAATGTATTTCAGGTTTCCTGTGAGTTTACTATGTAGCTCAGGCTGGCTGCAAACTTGATGCGATCCTCCTTCTTCTGCCTCATGAATGATAAGATTACAGGCAAGGTCACCTTTAGTGATAGCACCTTTCAGTAGAAAGGAGTATAAATATGTAGAGGCTCTGAGATAAGAAGTATGAATCACGACATTTTCCCAATCAATCAACTGCATTTATGTATTCTACATATTAATTGATTTGAGATTCAAAATGTTCATAGAAATGATCTTCCCTTTAGTAGAGTGACTGTATGCTTTCATGAATTAATGTTCTTTCTCTTATTATAATCAAACTCATCATACCTTTACCTTATGGACAACAAACATTATAACTTTTCCTATATGGAGAAAACACAGTATTTTACTATCTTATGATACAAGTCTTACTGTCTTTCCTTTCATATTGGTAATTCTTTCAAGGCTAGTGTTTCAGTTATATGTGAAATAAGAATCAAGTATTCAAATATGATGTTAGACTCTGAAAATTATACAGCACCACTGGATATATTCCGCTTTCTATACTCTTATGCACTGATCTATTTATTTTCTCTAGTCTTATTATGTTAAAATTTCAGTATTGTATTCAAATTTTTCATTTCTCACCTGATTTGGAAATATTTTTTCCACTTCTTTTTAGATTCTTGTATTATTCAAAATGGAAGAGCACTTAATTAACCCACCAAATTTTCTTTAAGTGTTTGATGTTATTTCAATGAAACAATTAATATATTTGGAGAGAAATAATTTAAGGTTTGAAATCTATGATTTTCATATAAATTTCCAATTAATTAGGTACTCTTTTATAATAAAAGATAAATTTGACAAGTTTTCCAGTAAGATATTTCTAGAAACAGAAATCCAATAGGAAAACAAAATTGATTTAAGGAAATCTATAGTGTTGATCATCTTTTGATTATATTATTTTTCTTTTGACAATATTTTAATTTAAAAAAATGTAAAAATATTATTTCTTTGATTCACAAAGTTCTATATTTGTGACATGTAAATTCTATGACTCTCTGAGTCACCTAGAGAGAAAAAATTCTCTCAGGCTTTCACAGAAAGCAAATTAGTTGAGCACTGACAGTGACTCATGCAGATGGCTGACACAAAAGAAATCCTGAGGGGATCTGACTGACCTTGTAAGATACAAAATTTATAGTTATATAGGTCTTGCTTTAAATTGGTCTTAACCATCCAGCAGAAAAGTGTAACCACAAGGTATAAAAAGTAATGCTATATTAATATGCTGAGCTGTCAAAGGCTCAAGTCAACAACTTCTGACAATTGCCAGTTCTGCTGATAACTCCCTACTATTGTGGACTATTGGACTATATTGGGTTGTTTTGCTAAATTCAAGTACCTATTATCTTTAGGCTTGTTTAAAGTATAAAAAAGTCCTTTAAAGACTTCTCCAAATACAGCTTTTCTAACTGCAGTAGCACACCCATATCTGACAAAACAAAATGAAAAAGGGGGATATGCTAGGAGCCATGAAGCTAAGAAACTGATCAAACATCTGTAGATGGGAGTCGGTCTACTGCCTAAATCAAACAAGCCACTTTACTCCTGGGATGAACATCCTGTCTCATAAAGATTAGCTATCAGTTACTAGGCAACCTAATGTTATGCATTACTAACTTTACAAATGTGTAAGTAAAAGACCATTTGTTGTGGAAAAAAAAAGAATATATATATATATATATATATATATATATATATATATATACACACACACACACACACACACACACACACAAAAGTTAGGATAGATATACAGCTACTTTCTCCTAGTTCACTGAGAATAAAAGTTTGTACTAATATTGTTTCGACAAAATAACATGTCTGCATCTCATCCTCTAAATAACTACTGTGAAGAAGACAATATGCAATGTATTAATTACTGTAATTGTCCTACTAACCTGTTTTGAAACTGTTTTATTGCTATTTCATTTTTTATCTCATTAAAATTAAAAAATAAATTCTATGACCCTGAAAAATTATAACTGTAAATATAATAATCCATTCATTGCCCTATGTCAATAATTAATAAAAACCATTCCATTTTTAAAGTATTATGCACTGAGGCATTAAGATTCTCTTGAATTCAGCCCCTAAGTTCTTTGAAAATTGAATTATTGGTACTGGTGCATTGCCTCACTTACATTGAAAAGAGTAGCTCATTATTAGGATATGAAAATCCAACTGCATCATGACTATTACTGAATTTATTATATTTCAAATTATTGAATTATATTATATTATATTTTATTGACTTGAGACTATGCTGGATGATTGTGAAAAAGATTATCCTATTGGAATCATGGCAGCTTCAATTCTATTTATTGCTGTTTGATATATTATTTCTTAGAAGTGTGCTATCCTTTTAATATGCAATATGCAAGAACAAATTTTTTATCAATTATTCTTTTTTCATTCATGTTTGTTGTTGATGCTTTTAGTAACAATTGGAAGCTCTTCATATGTCTCAAGGACTGTTTCTGCACTCTTAATCTGATTAATATAAAATTTCAGAGAAACAAATAAGCACTATAAATATAATAGAAATCTTCTATTTCTATAATAGGTTTTTGAATTCCAGTTGACTTCAGAGGACATGAAAGAATTAGATGGCATCAAAAACAATGTCAGATATATCACAGTTGATGAGTGAGTAACTTTGGTAAATATGTTGCCTGTTCAATATAGTTTGTGAGGAACAATGTAATGTGGCTGCTAAAAGCTGTCTCGGGAGTAGGAATAAAAAGATAGGGGTACAACAGAAGCTTTCTGGAACTTTTCTCAGATTCTCTCCAGGGTTGTCTCTGACACCAAAACAGGAAGAGTGGAACTAGGTTGAGCTTGGACTCCAACACTTGGACCTCTGCACTTCTAATGCCTTGAATGCTCCTGATCAGCCAAAATCCTGCTGCATGTGTCCTGCATGAACACCTTTGCATTTTGCAATAATCTATTGAATGAACAGCATTGGACATCACCAATGCAGTATATTTATACATTTCCCAAAATCATGCCTAAAAGATCTTTTTCCAAATCTGTTCAATTCTGTCAAACTAAAGAAGAATCTCTATTATTCTGATGATCCAAGCCAACTATTCTCATCTAACTTTTTAGAACACTTCAGTGAATAAGGCAATTTACTAGTTTAATAATTTCATGGCTCCCCCTTGCTTTGCACTATGCATAATTTTTCAGATTCCAAACACTTCATGTGGTTTCAGAAAGGCTGACATGAAGGCTGTTAAAATACCCAGCAGTGAGTTTTTCTTTTCTCTCTTTTTTTTAAATGTGTGTGTGTGTGTGTGTGTGTGTGTGTGTGTGTGGCCAGCTCAGCCCACCAGAAGGCGGGGTTCGTTGGCATGTGGTGCTGGGGGATTGAACTGTGGTCCCTGTGCTTTGCTAAGCTTGTTCTAAGTAGATGCTTTAGACCACTGAGCCATCTCAGCAGCCCTCAGCAGTGAGTTTTTAAAAGATTTCAAAGGAAAAAGAAAAAAAATAAAAAAAGATTTCAATGGAGAGGCTGGACAACTTTTCAAGAAAAGAGGGATTCCAAGGGAAGATTTTGCAAACAAAGACTCATTCTTGGAGACAATCTATATCTTCCAATATTAATTAGTCTCCTTTCATGCATTAACTTTATAGAAAATGAGAAAGGACAGATACTATAATAGACCTTAACAAGAAATTTATGCCACTTCAAACTTTGGGAATTCTAATTTATATTTGAAGTGTGATAATATATGAAAGGACACACTGCAAATGTGATTGTGCTCAAATAAGGGAAAAACCACATTATCAAGACTAATGTTTTTATTAATATAGAGAAAAATATAGAAAATTTAGCAATATAATAAATAGCATCAGAGATCAATCAAGAAATAAGTCTAACTATAAGTAATCATTTAAAAATAATTGATTTTTAACATTTCATACATTGTGTTATTAAAGAGTAGAGTTGGAAAAATAACATAGTAAATTCTGTAGAAAAGGAAAACTGCTATAAGTGATATTTGTCCCATTTCTGAATCAAGCATGCTATGTTATGTGGAAGAGATGGCAAGTAAATAATTTCTGAATTATGAATGTTTCTAACAAACTGTTCAGCCTGAAGTACATTTATTTTCAACAATGTATAAAATTGCCCTTGTCCTATACAATGCATAAATAGAATCTACTTTCTTTGAAAATTTGAAATAAGAAAAAATTAGATAGTATATTACTAGATCAACCAAGAAAGCTAAACAACAGATATCTGTACATTCATAGTGAGAAAACACAACTGAAGAATTTAGATAAGACTTGAAAAACATTTCCAATTCATCTTGAAAATTTTATAACCTGTTAATAAATAGTTATCGTTTCTTTCTACCACCCTAAAAATGCAGTTGCCAATCTCATAGTATGCATTTTTCTTTTTTTCTTGTTTTCTTTAGAGCTAAAGCCCATCCTAACTATCCATTTTCTGATGAATATTAACATCAAGGCTTTTGAACTAACTTCCCCCAGAAGATCTTGTGCATGGATGTGGATGTAAGAGATCTCTCAAATTCAGAGGTTTAGACTCGCTTCTTCTCACCAATTCATGCTATCAACTCATAGTATGGTGGAATTATACTACAGATTTGGAAGAAGGGCAACATCTTTTTGTCACATTTTGAAAACAATAAATTGTTTTCCCTAAAAAATCTTACCTAGTACTCTATGTTACTTGCACAGTTTGTTTGCTTCTGACTGATTAAAACTAAAAACTGATTTGCTTGATAGACATCAGTCTGTGTGGGGTAGATATGATAAAGTCATTTGCAGACATGTATGGGCTGGTAATACATGACCTCAGCCTCCAGAAAATAGTGGTTATCAGGTGTTTTTCTAGCCTTTCAATGAAAAAGAAAACCCACTGCATAACATCTCAAAGGTGAGGCATTTATAGGAAGGTGGTCAACAATCTAAGGGCTCTTTGCCAGCAGCTGAAGGATCATAGAATCAAGACACAGCCCAGTGTGGGACAAGGAGAGGCAGAGAGGGTGAATGGTTATCAGAGATGAGTCATAGTTCAGTCACTATGTGGACACAGAGGCTATTTTCACCCAAGTGCAGCCAACATCCATAAGACTTCTGGGAGAAAAAAGCCTCAAACCCAAGAACTTTCTGACAGCTGTTAAGAACATCAATATATGAGAAACAAGCAGGACAAAAGCAGTTTGGGTTCTTTTCTCAAAGTGAGGCAGTTTTTCTTCATGACAGGAAGAGGACAATGGCTACACGCAACATGCTTCACTAATCTAAACTTATTATTTAAATATTCATTCTTCACAGTGCCTTGCACTGTTGCTCCACAGTTTATTTCTGTGCTTTCTTAATTTCATGGAATAAAGGTTAAAAGTTTTGTAACAAAATAATAGAATAGAATTTTAATAAATTACATATTATCTTTAAAGTATTAGCTCAGGGTACAACATATAGACATACATATTTCTCTAATAATATTATCACAGACCTTCCTTTTTTTAACAAACTAAGTGATACTAATAATATAACTCATTTATATTTTCCTTAACATTTTCCTTGACATTTTCCTTTTTTTCCCATTCTAGTTCCTTTTAAAAATTTTCTTCACAGTTTACAACATTTCTATAATGTATTGTACAATATAGAAATTATTTATTCTTTTAGGTTCTCACATTAGAGAGACAATACAACATTTACATTTGTGACTCTGATTTATTTCACTTATGAGTATGGTTTTCCATTGCAACCATTTACCTTAAGAAGTTTTAGGATTGTTCCTCTTTATGACCAAGGAATACTCTGTTGTATAAAAATGGTACGTCTTTTTTATCCCTTTCTCAGCTCATAGCCATTTGGGTTCCTTCCAAGTTTTAGTTATTAACCATGCTGCTATAAACACAATGCACATACATCAGCATGGAATGCATTTAATTTTTCTGAGAAGCTACCAAGAATGAGTATAGCTAGGCTGAATAAGATCTTGTCTCAGTTATTTTCTTTCATTGCTGGGACAAAATAACTGACACTCAAAACTAAGGAAGGAAAGGTTTATTTAGTTCACAATTAGTGGAAGTTTTAGTCCAATCTTGGCTGGCTCAAAGGCAGAGTGGCACATGGAAGAGGGCAGCAGTTCATGCCTGCAGAAAAACAGCAAAAAGCAAAGGAGGAGCAGCAGTCAAGGCAGCTAGCCAGCCTCTCTCCCTTCCTTACATTGTATGAAGGTTACTGACCCCAGGAAGGGTGTAGCACTAATACCCATAATCCAAGCATTAGATTAATAATCACAAACTCTAGATGGCACCCCCTGATTGTATGAGACTTTGAGGAGACAACTAGACACAAACCATAACGGGCCTCTAAGCCTAGTTTTTCAGGAATTTCTACAGTTATTATCATAGTAATTGTACCCGTCTACACTCCCATTAACAGTAGAGAAGTTTTCCTTTTGCCCATAGCCTATCTATTGCTTGTTATTGGTTGATTTTTTGATCATAGTCATTCTTTCTGTTGTGAGATGGAATCTCAGTGTTTATTTAACTTGTATCTCTCAAATTATGAGTGATGTTGAACATATTTTTTCTTCTATTTATTTGCCATTTGTATGTTTTTTATCTTAGAAATATATATTCATATCAGATACTCATTTTTTGTTTGGGTCTTTGAATTTAGGGGATCTGAGTTCTTCAACTCTTTTTTTAAAAATTATTTGTTTATGTGTGTGTGTGTGTGTGTGTGTGGCCAGCTCAGCCCACCAGGGGGTGGGGCTGGCTGGCATGTGGTGCTGGGGGATCGAACCACAGTCCCTGTGCTTTGCTTAGCTTGTTCTAAGTAGGTGCTTTAGACCACTGAGCCATCTCACTAGCCCCAACTCTTTCTTTAAAAAGCATGACAACAAAAAGCTTATAAGGAATTAACCAGAAAAAAATTAAATAAAAATCATTTAAGCATTATCTACTCCTTTGAGTAAACCAATGGAGATTTTCAGTTCTTTATATTTTTAATTATAAGTTCTTTGTCTAAGGAACAACCGGATAAATCTTTTTCCCATTCATTAGGTTATCTTTTTCACTTTGTTGGTGATTTCTTTTGCTGTGAAAAAGCACTTTAATATGAATAAAATCTCAGTTATTATTTGAAGTGTTCCCAAGCTCACGGAGAAATTAGGGAAGCCATACCTTTCACAATAGCATCTCAAAAAAAAAACAAAAAAAAAAAACAAAAAAACAAAAAAACAAAAAAACTTAGGAATTAATCTACTAAAAGAAGGAAAGGATTTATACTATGAAAATAACAATGCTGAAATAACAACTCTGAAAAGAATATTGAAGAGATTATCAGAAAATGTAAAGTTATGCCTTTCTGCTTGTTAGGAATAACTAACATAGTGAAAATAGCTCCATCTTCAAAATTATTACACAAAGCTGGGGAGATAGATCAGCAGTCTAAGTACCAGCATGGAAAGTGCAAGGACCCAGGTTCAATTCCAGATGCCACATGCAATGCTGACCCTGGGTCCCCAGGCATGCTGTGTGCCATGCTGTGCCAGCCACTGAAACTGGGCATGGTGGCACACATCTGTAATAGTAGCACTAGGGAGGTCAAGACAGAAGGCTATGAGTCTGAGCTGCATAGTGAGACCTTGTACCAAATAAATTAATCCATAAAAGATTTTTAAAACTTAAAAAATATACAAATTTAACACAATACTGGTTGAAATATCTCAGCAGAACTAGAGAGAATATCCAGAAAATTCATCTGGAAATAAAAGAGTCCTAGAGGCTACCTGGCAACAAAGAAAAGGCAGGAGGTACCATAATCCTTGTCTTGAAATTATAATACAAAGCTACTGTGATAAAATCAACATGGTGCAGAAAAAACAAAACAAAAAAATCTGAGGACAGTAGGAACAGATTAGAAGATGCAGATACAACTATAAACACAATCATACACCTTATCTTTGATAAAAAAGCCAAACATATTCACTGGAAGAAAGAAAGGCTCTTTAATAAATGATGCTAGAAAGAAATGGATCTAGTTTTAGTCTTTAGAACCATTAATAAATGGACCTATGCTTAGTCTTTGTCTTTTCATTTGTGGAAGACTAACAATACATGCATGTTTATCACCATGCATTAAACTAAAGTCAAGATGAATCAAAGATGTAAATATTAAAAGAGAAATACTAAATTTGTGGAAGAGAATGATGAAGCACTTTTGAAGACAAAAGTGTAGGCAGAGTTCACAAATATTTGTTTGTTTTTGTCTAACATTCTAAATATTTGATCCTCATAGAGCCTATGTACTTTTTCTTGCACTTTATCCGTTCTCTAGTGTCCAAGTCCTGCAAAAGGAAATAAGGAAGGAGGTCAGAGTAGAACCAACTTGGAAGAACTTTGAGGAAGCATATGTGCCTAGATTTAGGAGAGTATGTTCAACAAGTTTTTGACTGTGAAGTCCTGACTTTCTTTTGATAATTACATTGTCCAGATGAAAGAAAACTTCCCACATACTGTATCTACAAGTCAGTGATCTGGGTTATTTTTGGACTAAATATTCATCCAGTAACAGCAGTGACCTACTGGGTAGTGAATCCCTATATTATAGCTACAGTTGTATCTGTTTTATAATTTATAATATTTGGATGATCTTTCTTCCCTTAGGCAATAATTGAAAACCCACTTGAAAAGCTTCCTTCTGAGGAAGGTCAGTGCTTGACCAAAGGTAGCCAAGTAAAATTGCAAGGCCTATTTAGTCAATAACTCAGTGAAACAAGAGACCTGATCAAATTTTCTTAGTGCCAAATACCATATTTATTAAATTTTGTAAAGTTTAAAACTATTAATGTGGCACAAGGGAGACAGCTTGGAGGTATAAGTGCCGGCCTGGCAAGCACATGGATCACAATTCAGTCCTAGGTATTGCATGCTGTCGCAGCCCCAGAACACGGGGCATGCTCTTCTGGCCACTGAAGCCAGTTGTGGCGGTACATGCCTATCATCCTAGCACTGGGGAGCCTGAGACAGCAGGATGAGTGCTAGCTGCAAAGCAAGATCCTGTACCAGATAAGTGAAGATGTAAAGAAAAATATGATTAATGTAAAATTTTAGTCTTTTTAAATATTTCCAATATAATGAATTCATACTTGCAAATATAAAATATATAACATTTCTAAGGTATGACATGTTTTCTGTAAAATTAATATATACTAAGTAAATTTTGTAATTATACTATTTTAAATTTTCAAACTTTTTATGTATTTAATACAAGGTCTCACTACATAGATTGGACTCATAGTGATCCCCTGTTTACAGCCTCCCAATCACTGGGATTATGGATGCACACCACCATTCCCAGTCTCAATCCCATCTCAGCATGCCCCACAGGCAGGGCTGGCACACTAGGCCAGGGAATCGAACTCCCAGTTCCTACATCTGCATAAACAGGCACTTTAATCTGCTGAGCGATATATCTGGTCCACCCTTCAAACACCTTTTGTAAACACATACATAAAGCAGCATGAGAATCAAAAAGCATATTCACTTTTGCATTATATTTAAAAATCACATTTCATTCTTCTTTTTAGGAATATAAAATGAACATTATAATTCTGAAGAGTGAAAATTTGATCTCAACATTTTGTTATGAGGGCATCAGGGACCATGTAGGCAATGAAACAAC